TACTACGACTACGACTACGACTACTACTACTACTACTACTACTACTACTACTACTACTACTACTACTACTACTACGGCTACTACTACCACTACGACTACGACTACGGCTCCGACTACAACTTCGCCTACGACTACGACTACGACTACGACTGAAACTACAACAACAACAACACCAACAACTACTACTACTACTACTACTACTACTACTACTACTACTACTACTACTACTACTACTACTACGACTACTACTTCTACGACCGCCTGCTCCGCCCACTCCTGCCCTCTCCCTCGTCGCCATCATCGTCGAGTCCCTCAGGGCCCTCCCCGACGCCCTTCATGCGGCGGCCAACCAGGGGGCATTTCCCCGCCCCCCCTGGGCCCCGAACTCTATTATCCCCGCCGCGTGAATCTCAGGGGCGCAAGAATTTCATCCAACGTTCGTTGTCAGAAGCTGCCCCAGAAGCGGTCTGCAGAGCCAAGGCCGACTCGTTTTTCTTTCGAGTGCATGCAACTGTTGAGGAGAAGGGGCGCGCCGCGAAAACGCCTTCGCCTGGGGCGGTCTCGGCTGGGCTGGCAAGACGAACCCGCGTCCTCCGGAAGACTCTGCAAATTCATCAGCCTACCCGGCGCGGGGCTCACGGCCCACGGCGGACTCTTCGGCGTCGAGCCGGGGCCCCCGGCGCCCTGAATCAGCCCCCGCGGCGGCGATCCCGCCCCGACTGGCGAACTCGGCGGGGCGCTCGACGACGCGACCGAGGCCGCCGTAGATAGACGCTGCCGCGTCAGGCCAAGCTGCTCCACCGCGCGAAGCACCTGCGCCATGTCGCTGCCCTGCTGCGCCGCGACGCCTCTGAGCTGATCATGCGCCTCTTTCGGGCGCAACGTTTGGCTGACAGTTCGTCGGAACGGCGCCTGGCCGTCGGAGAAGGCGCCGTGCTGAGCAAGTGTTTCAGCTCACCGTCGTCCGCTCGCGCTTCATCGCGCCCCCCAGCGGGGTCGCCTTGTCGGGAGGGGGGCGTTCTGGTGCGCCGGCGAAGCCTAAGACTCGCGAGATCTCTGCCCGTGCATCAACGTTGGGGCCAAGTGGTCGCGCCCTCAAATTCCTCGCCCTTCGCCGAGATGCGCGGCGCCTTCTGGTGGCGATGGGCGACCCGTGGGAGACGCTCCGCGCGATTTCGCCAGTGCCCGCGACCGCTGCCGTCGCGCATCAGGCGCGCCCCAGGAATCGCAGAGGCCCCTTGGACCACGCCATCGCCGCCAGGAAGGCGAGAGCGGCCGCGTCCGCCAAGTCGCCCAGGGCCCGCTTGCCCCGAGTGCCCGGTCCGTCCGCCCCGATTTGACAAGGCCCCGTCCTCTCTGACCGACCGATTCGAGGTGGGCCAGAACTGGGGTCGACCGCTCCAGGATGCCCTCGAGCCTGAGCCCTCGGAAGGTCCGGGGAGACGTCGAGGCCGGCGCGCCCACCGACGCGCGTGCACTCTGCGATGTCGCTCGGAGACCAATTATCCCACTCGTCGTGCACCACTCATGCAAGCATGTCCCAGTAGCCAAGCATTGCGCGCGTTGGCGAAGGATCTCAAGGGAATCGGAACATCTCGAACAGCCCGCGGGGAGCACGGCTCATCTCGCGGGGCCCGATGCACTCGCCGCAGAGCGTTGCCCAAAAAGGCTCACTAGTCGACCCTAGCTGCGTTTTTGCGCCCGTTTGCGCCGCGTCGAACGTCGCGCAAGTCGCCGCGGTCGGCGCCTCGGCTCGGAAACGAGGAAGAGGAGATGCGAAGCAGAAAACAAGAAAAGGGAGGACAGGACAATGGGCGAGCGGAACCGCCCTGAACGGGGGGCCGTCGCGCGCGCGTCGGACACCGCGGGCCTCGGGGGCTCGCGGCCCGCGGGGGCCCCGCTCGGGACCGGAGAGGGAAAGGGGGGTGACGCGACGACCGCGCAATCCTCGCTCGCGCTCGCTCGGAGACTGTCGGCGCCCAGCCGAGGGCACCCCGCCAGGAAAACCTGGCGTTGGGAGCGGTCTGGGCGGGGCCATCTCGTTGACGCGCAGATGCCTGCGACGCGAAGGAAGCCTTGCCAAGTCTGTCGGGCACCCCAGTTGCAGGCATAGAACACGGCGCCCCTCAGGGGATCTACGCGGGCCCCCAGGAGGCCCCGAGGCGAAATCGGCATCAGGGAGGGGGTGCGTAGGCGCCCATCGCATCCATCTCCAACGCCCACGCGCGCCGGTCGATGCTAGCTGGGGCCAGCGCGACGCGCAAGATCTTCACGGCGCCGTCGATGCCTCGGGCGCTCTCACGCCTGGGGGGCGCTCGCGCGGCGCGGTGGCCCCTCTGCTTCAGGTCCAGGTTCCGCTTGAACGTGGCTGGCTCGCAGACGACGCCCTGGCCAGCCGCGGCGTCGATCGCCGCGGCCCTGGGCGGGCGTCGGTCGACGTCGGGTCGCCAGCTGGGAAAAACGTCGTGGACCGCGGCCCTTCCGTGAGGTACCTGGAAGAGACTCCGCCTGCATGGTCGACGCAATCCTCCGTCTGTTCCGCGGCCGCAAAGATCTCGCCGGGAACCGACGCGGCGCTGTTGGGGAAGACGAGGGCGGAGGGCGCCAAGGGCCTGGCCGCGGGTGTTCGGGCACCCGCGCCCCCGGTGACCATGCTGCCTGCACTTCTGGCAGCGCATCCGCTTTATGACCTCTGAGATCGCTGCCGGACTTCCTCGGCCGCCATGCCCCCCGTCGTCTCGCCCGCCCGATCTGCGGCATGTCACTCCAGGAACGGGGGGGGGGGTCGCTGGAAGTGCGTCGAATTTGGGGTATCCTACATCGTCGCATCTAAATCTCTCACAGCTCTCAGCGTCGCGTCGTGGGTCTTCGCAACTCTCGTCAAAGACCTCGCCGATTGGGCTCTCTGCGCGTCGAAGGCAGCAACCTCCTCCAAGAACTTGCGCTTCCACTCGTCGGGCAACGGTAGACCCTGGGGCAGCGACGGTCGAACTGAACGTCCATGCGCGCCGCGTAGCCGCACAACGACTCTGACTATTGGCAGGGGAACTGCAGTAAGCCTTCTCTGGCCGCTGTGCGCTGATCGTCACCTTGACGCTCTTACGACAACATGTTTATATGATGTGCAATCGCGGCGATACCTCCTGTTGCTTCCAGAATTTTGTCGGGGAGATGCTCTAGCTTGCGCTGCAACTCCACCGCCAACCGCTTCATCACTCGATCTGCCCTCCTCGGCGATGCCACCTCTGTGATATTCTGCCATCAGGGACTTTCCGCTTCCAGGCTTTGCGCTCGGCCCAGCTCATCTAGGGCCCCGGGTCGGTGTAATCCGCTGGGCGAGCCTCGCTGGAATACTCGCTTGGGTTCTATTGCCAACGAGACCAGTCCTGGCTGGTCTACTCGGCGTCACTCCACCCCGGGGGTTTCTCCTTGTCGGGTTTCTCGTTCCACGAGCACCGCCAAATCCAAAGATCGCGCTCCTCGCGCCGTCGGTCTTGAGACCTATGGCCGTCTAACTGCCAAACGTCTTTCCGTCATGCTGCGCCGTTCTGCCGGGTCGACCCCTGGGGTTCCGTAGCTGGGTGGTCGGCCTCCACAAACGCAATCGCCCCATCCCTCGTCTCCGGAGCGACCGCCATGCCATGCGGGGAGCACAGACTGCATGCAGACCCGGTCATCTCGGTGAACATTTCTTTCGCTACTGCCCACAACTCCTTCACTGAGGTCGTTCGAGCTTTACTTGCCTGACCACGGTGGCCGGTGGCCGCCGAACCCGTCGCCGTGCCGGAGGGTGATATGTTTGTGTTGAGGGAGTGCTCGCTCTTCTCGCCATCCCGAGCTTTCTGATAATCTCAGGACTGCGCAAACATAGAGAAGAAGCCGGCCACCGCTGCTACAGCAGACGACAAGCCGGCTGCGCTACCACTGTGATACGAACCCATATCAAGATACGCTGGGATGGTGAGGAGCACTGAATGTGTACGCGTGTCACTGACAGGATTGAACCAAAACGGTTGCGGACCGCTCAGCGTAAACATGCTCAGTGATACAGGCAAGCAGCGAGAGCGGAGAGAGGTTCAACTCATAGACCCATACAAGAAATTAGCTAACTATTCTCCCCGCCCTACTCCCAGTGGAAGGGCGACATCCTCACCCTCCTCCCAGTGAGTGGGAGCCCAGGCCTCTTCGGGTAATGAATCATAAACACGTCGGGGAATTCGAGCATTCGTTTTCTGCTTCTCGGGGGCCTTCCCGGGCCCACGGGCAGTCAGGATGCGAAACTGGCCCATAGGAAGGAGTCCAGACCTCTGGGCGTCCACGTATTGAGCACAACACAATGTCGGGAACCTGGGGGGAAGTGGGGGGGGAGGGCGGGGGACAAGTGGATGGGGAGAGGGAGTGAGCGGCGGGAACGACGGAGAGAAGCTAGGAAAAAAGGAGGGGAAGACAGTGAGAGAGGGACGCGGCGCAACGAGGCAGGGGGAAAGGAAGAGGGTGAGAGCGAGCGAGGTGAGAGGGGCAGCCAAGGAGGAAGAGACGAACCCTATGGAATAGTGCGTTGAGATCCGCGCGCGCACGCACGCACACACACACACACACACACACACACACACACGCACACACACGCACACACACACACACACACACACACGCACACACACACACAAACACACACACATACACACACACATACACACACACGCACACGCACACGCACAAACACACACACACACACACCGTCCCTGGCCACGCCCATCCTGGGCCGAGGAGCGGTGTATACGCTCCCCCCGGCCTGGCCAGAGGTAGCAACCCAGACCCCTGACGCCGGTGGCGTCCTTCAGAAAACTGCGTCACTTCCCTGGGCCCACTCTTCATCCTGAACTCCTTGTGGACGGTGCCGAGGCCGAAAAGTCCTGAAAAAAAGCAATATATTCTTTCACGAGGCCCCCTGGACAGCCCCTCCTCTGGGCGCTGCTGATGTTCAAGCCCGACCCTTGCGCCTCCAAGAGCCCCGCAGGCAGGCCGCACTCCGCGAGGTCCCGCTGCACCTCCTGCGGGGGCGAGGGGGCCGCTCATCAGACCAGTTGGCACACGAGGAGGATCAGATGAGGCACAACACCGGACGGAGAGAATGACTCCAAGTCGTTGTCTGACAACCCTGGGGCCGGGAGACGTCCCCCGGGGGCCAAAAACAACGGCATATGCCGTCACGGTGCCTTGCGCCGCCTGGATCCGAGGGACGACGAAGGCGACACGAACACGGACGCACGAACTGACGCAGCGACCCGAAAGAGAATTAAGATGGACGACGACGGCGGCAGCAGCCGGCACAAGACACCGAGCAGAGCAGGCACCAGCGTCGGTAGGAGCAAGAAAAAGAAGGGACAGGGCGGGCTACCGAGGAGGAAGCGCAGGGAAAATAATAAGCGAGAGCAGCAGGAGGCTGATTTTGATTTTGCGCTCCGCTCGGGAGATGGCCCGAGAAGGCAAACAGCGGGCCGAGAACGGACAGCAATCGTAGCGGAGGCCGAAGGACCGACGCAACCGAGCGAAGGACCGAGACGAGACGCAGAGCACGAATTACGTGGCGAACGGGGAGTAGGCTGATGGCCGACGACAATGATAAGAAGGAGGCAGATGAGCAGGACTCGACGCAAAGTCCAAGACTGGAAAGGTGACTGTCCTGTCTGAGCAGTGGCCGGAACATACACTAAACTAAGGCGCGTGGAGAACGGCCTGAACATTCGCGCAGTGCGCTCAAGGATTTGCTTGGCCGGTCCTCCTGCGCAGGGGGAGGGGGGGGAGGGGGGGGGGAAAACCCAAGATGACTCGCCTGCTTTCTTGTGGCACACTGGGTGATACCCATCACCTGTCCCAAGTTGACGCGAAAGGCTCCTGCGCATGCGTCGCGACGAGCTGCGCCCTGCCCGAGGGACGGCTCTGGACTGGGTCAGGTGGGCGCGGCACCCGCCGCCGCGCCCCCTTTTTCAAGAGGATCAGAACCCCGGCCTGCGCCACCACCATCACGAGGAGCCAGAGGAAGCTCCTTCCGGTGGTGTTCCCCCGCCCTGCGGCTCCACAGCTCCACATCTCCCGTCGGAAAGGCATCGTATCCCCCCCCCTCGCCAGAGGTGGCCCGTCGGTGGTGGTGTCGATCGTCCTCCCTCCGACCCCTCACGGCGGGCCCGTGTCGTGACCACCTGCGCGTTGGTGCCTGGAACCTCTTGGGTCGTTCAACCTTGGACGATCCCTAATCTCTGGTAGTGCAGATCGTTCGATGTCGGCCGATTCTGGGCCGCTGGCGGCATTCGATCTTGAAAGTCCGAGCTGAGGCCGCCGCCGCGTCGAGACGACACGAATCTATCGCATTGAAGCAGCTCGATGGCATGAAAGCGGCCTTATCTTTCTCTGGTGCGGCCGCTTGCACCGCCTGTACGCATCCGCAGTTCGATGCCTGGTACCCTGATGCAGCAGCCAAGGCTATATTCCAAGCCCCAGCCTGATGTCTGGTTGTAGGGCAGAGCTAGAACGCTCAAACAAAACTAGAAAATTGCATAAGTCTCGCGATGGAAGCAATGGCTTGCGCGAGGAAAATGATCCGGACGCAAGCTAGTACACTAGCACGCGTATTGTCAACAACACAACAAACCAAATGCCCTCTGTCACAAGACGCGATACGCACCCGGTTCATTGCAAGTCACGCCTGGAGAAACGGACATCAGACGTGTCCAGGAAGGAGTACTTGTATGTATTAGACCCATGCTCAAGCAACACCCAGCCGATGAACATGTTGTCGAAGTACAGTGGCCGCATTCTCAAGCACCCAAAAGAGAATCGACTGCCAATACCTCGGACTCACAAACCTTCTCGCGGAGGGGCGCGCGGGCCCTGTCCTGATCGCTCGTGACCGGCGCAAACGCGTTTGATCCCTGGGCCATTCCCCACGTCTCCGCGTGACTCTTGGAGGCCACCATCGTCTCCACAGAGACCGCCCTCAGGACCTCAGACACGCTGATGGTGCCCAGCGCGGATGACTTGCGGCCAGCGAACGGAAAGGAGTCTGGCCCACGCTGGCACTGCGCGTTGATGTTCACGCGGCAAGTGGCGAGCGCACACGAGTCGAGGATGTGCGACAATTGATGGCTTCCCTGGGCGGCCGAGCTTGTGAAGAGGGCCACCTGCTGACCAAAGTGGACGTCCGCCAGGTGCTGCAGAACCTCCTCGATGTCCGAGTACTTGCCGATGGCGACCAGAGGACCGAACTGCTCCTCGTGGAAAGCGCGCATTTCCTTGGTCACTGGGTACAGTACGGCGGGAAAAACAAGAGTGCGGTCCGTCTCGCCACCGCGCTCGTTGATCACCTTCGCGCCCTTGGAAGTGGCGTCGTCCACGAGCTCGGCGAGGTACTTGGGCTTCTCCGGCTCTGGCAAAGGGGTGATGGCGCTCTGGCCGAAGGGCGGCCCGGCCGGCAGGGCGGCGATCGCGTCCGAGAAGCGCCTGCAGAAATCGTCGGCGATGGACTCGTGGAGCATGATCAACTTGATGGCCGTGCAGCGCTGACCGTTGAAGGCGGTGCTGCCGGCAAGGCACTCCTTCACAGCCACGCCAACGTCGGCGTCCGGCAGCACGATGCCCAGGTTCTTGCCGTCCAGCGACAGCAGGCTGCGCAGGCGGTGCGGCTGCGGGTGCTCGCGGATGAGCGAGTCGGCCGCCTTGGAGGAGCCAATGAACGCGAACAGGTCTACCTTGCCCGAACGCATGATCGGCGGCATGGTGTCACGCCCGCGTCCAGCGACGAAATTCACGACCCCCTTCGGGAAGCACTCTGCGTACACCTCCATGGTGAGCACATGGGCGAGGCCTCCAAGGTTGGGGATCTTCATGACCACGGAGTTGCCACAAAGGAGCGCCGGGATGAGAGTGGCGTAGGTCTCGTTGAAGGGATAGTTCATCGGTCCCAGGTTCATCATCACGCCCACTGGGGAGCGGCGGAGGATGGCGTGGACGCCCCCATCGCAGACGACGCCCGTGGACTCCGCGGCACGGAGCTGTGCGATGCTGGCGGCGATGTATTCCATGGTGCGGTCGAACTCCTTGGCCGCGTCCGCGTCGTTCTTGCAGATCTCCCACTGCAAGACCTCGACGATCTGCGACCGCCGCTCCTTCAGCCTGTGGACCGCGAGCTCGACCGCGGCGATGCGCTGCTCCATGGACTTCTGCGCCCACTCGCCGCGACCTCGCGCCCACGACCGCGCGGCGGCCTCCACTGCGGCCATCGAAGCCTCGGGGGTGAAGACGGCCTGCCGGCCGATCACGATGCGGCTGCCGTCCGCCGCGAACAGAGGGCTCACGACGTCGCTGCAGGCGCCCTCCCACGGCACCACTTTGCCATCCACCAGCACCTTGGCGCCGTCCACGTAGGGCGACTTCGTGCCCTTCGCAACCTGGGGCGCAACGATCACGGGTGCCATCGCCGCCGTGCTTGCCTCTGTGCAGGCGGGATCCGATCTGGATGTGAGGTGTCCAGCAAGCCAAAAGCTGGTCGCGAAAAGAAAAACAAGCACACACGTCAAGAGTGAGCCAAAACGGCTTGAGAGTCAAAGTTGGAAGAAGACGCTGGATGAAAACGAATGCTCGAGGGTACGCGAAGACTTCTCGGATCGGCGCTGGGGACCCCCCTCCTCGGCGCGCTCCGCCGCCGGGGGCGCCCGGTGCAGGTTCAAGAAGTCCGCGCCCGACCTTCGCAGAGGGCATGCGGGCGTTGCCAGAACTGGGTTTGGTGGGACCTGGCTTAGGGATGTGTACTGGAGGACTCCCCCCCCGCCCCGTTCCACTCACCGGAACTGCCGTCACACGAAAACACACCCACTACGGCAAAGCTGGTGTAGTGGTTCTGGCCAATTCAAGAGCTCCGGGGCCCTCCCACTCACCGGGTACCCCTACCCGGGGTCCTCGCCACACCCGATGCCTGTGCGGTGGCTTCTCCTGCGATCCGGGTGCGGAGCGTCCTGGAAGTGCGGGAAGAAGCGGGGCTGCACCACCAGCAGCACGCGGTAGCCTCCCGGGATGCGGCGGCCGCAGGCGGGCGGCGGCCGCCGCCAGAGGGGGGCATGATCTGTTATCGGCATCCCTCCTCGAAGAATGCGCTCGCCTGCGCCGAGGGGTGCAGAATCAGCCAGGCATCGAATCGAGAGATCGGCTCGGATCGGAAGGTGTGGCTCGGATCGGGCTGAATCGGCCAGGAGTCGGAAACGGATCGAACCAGACGCACCAGGATCCGCATCGGATCGTCGGATCGTCGAAACGTCGGGATCAGACAACCATCGGACGCAAAAACATAGAATCAGCAACGCTCAGGTCCATACGCGGTGCTAGGGTTCGCCTTGCATCGGGGCTCCAAAGCGATCCTCCTCCAGGACGCGTCCCTATGCCAATCATGCTCTGCCCGTCCTCGTCCTGCTCCACACCTCCCGCTCTACCCGTTCTGTCTAGCCTTCTTGACTATGGTGTCCTGCTACCCTCGTCCCTTGGGCTGAGTTGGGCTTTGCTGCTGCGCCTTGGCCCTAAATGGCCACATGGCTGGCACTGCGACGATGTACCACCTCCTGCACTCCCAGGACTCACGCTCCCACGCCGGTGAGGAGCAACAGCACTCGCAAGTAACACAGGCTGGCCTTGAAGAAGCGTGATGAAAGTGTCCTCGCGTCACCCTCGCCATCCTCCGACCTCTAAGACAGCAGGACAGAGCAGGACAGCTGCCCGTGGGGGGCACCAATCGACAACAGCATCCGCCAGAAAGTAATGCTTCTGCCCACTTCGGTTGCACGTACTCGAAACAACAAGCTCACATTGAACGAACTATATCTGCACGATGCCTTGCAATTGGAAGGCTGCATCCAAACCCAAACGGCACTGGGCAATCCGACACCCATGCAAGAAACATATCGTGATGTAGACTCAACGTAGGCTCAATTCATCACGTGGGCCCGCATTGAACAACGAGAAACCGCAGATGAGAAAGATACATCGGGGCACGTACTTTTGTCAGTGGCATGGGAAAAGAATAAGTGCTGGCTTTGCAACGGTTGTCCTTCAAGCCGAGGAGCGAAAAGTTGGCCGGTGGCATCACGAGGCAATCCCTGCCATCGCCCTCGCGGACGATCTCGAACTGGAAATCTTCCTGCCGATGCGGCAAGAGCGGCGAACGTGGCACCCCCTGGGGATCATTGGAAGACTTCGAAGCAGAACCATGCGAGCGCCATTAGCTATCAGCTCGTATGTGACCGAAAACAGAGGTTCATCTCTTGCGCACGCACAGAAACACTAAAACGCACATACATGTTTGCTGTGTTCGTGTCCTTTCTAGGTACATTTCTTCACCGCCCTGGGAGTCCTTGGAAGACTTCAATGCTGCCCCGAAGGCCTTCAGAGAGAGGTCCATCAGCGCCCCGACCTCTGCGAACTCGCCTTCGGCCTTGGTGCGGCGAGTCATCCTGTCCATCACTCGATTTAGCAAACATCGTCAAATGCACGCAGTTTGAAATGACCCCTCACTGTTTAAATAGCGCGATGAACTCTGGCTCAGCCTCTCACCTCGCCCCCTCTCTCACCGCGAGGCACCCCCCCCCCTCCCCCGCGTAATGAACTCTCTGGCCTTCTCATCTGGCTTGACCTCCGTCACCGCCATGCCTGCCGCCAACCCCCGCGAGCGACGAACTTTGAGTGTGACACTCCCTCCCCGCGACTCCCCCCCCGCCTTGCCCCCCCCCTGCATGTCCACCCTCTATCTGCAAGTTACCATGGACGACCACGCTGGCCCGCGAGGCCCCGTCGAGAACCCCCTTCCCCCCCTGCAAGAAGGAACGCGACAAGCACGTGTCCCGAACCTATGTCACGCGAGTCCAACATGTATCCCAGTCGCGCGTGAACGAGGCGCAGACACACACACACACATACGCCCGCACACACACGTGCGTTTGTAAGTACGTGCGTATTTACATATATATATAGATATAGATATAAGATATAGGTGTATCGAGAACAGTCGGTTGGTCAGGGCCGACTTCAATGCTGCCCCGACATCACCACCACCGTCGTAATTTCAACTGCTGTCGTCAACTGCTGTCGTGATCAACGACGTCGTCGCTGTTCTATCGTTGTCACACCATCCCAAACACCTTGCCACAACCAACCGCATCAAGAACACTGGCCGGACCGAGACTCACAATTCACAACTACCGCCGAGAACAACTCGGACGCGCATGCCAAACAATCTCTACGCATTGCCATGCCACGCATCACGGGAACCTTGCGGCGCGGCGAGCGCACGGGCACCCATCACGCCGCCTCCGCACCCCGAGCCAGCTGGGCCTCGCGTGGTCAGTCACCACAGGCTGGTCGTCGGGCTGACCGAGGGGCGGGCGAGGGAGTCACAACACTGTGCAACTCCATCAAAGGCGACCATGTGACGATCCAAATGTTGCCGGCCAATACGACGGTATGATACCCCGACTCTTTCCAACCAGATTGTCCAGGAAATCGCAACAAATGCGGGTAAGGATCTGGGCAGACAACAGAGAAGCAGCGTGAGCGCATTCATTGCACCTTCCCACTGACTCCACGGTAGGACCATGTAGCATCACAAACAAGGCCCGCGCGGGTGCTGTGTGGCCGTGAAGCTCCATCAGAAACAACCATCTGAAGATACACATGCGGCCGGCCATGAAACTGCTAGCTGAGAATCAGCGTGGACATCTTTCCTTGCACCCTCCCACTGAAACCACAATTCGACCGTGTAGCATCACCCACGAGGACCGAACGAAAAATGCGTGGCTATGAAGCTCCTTCAAGGGCAACCATCTGAAGATACACATGCTGCCAGCCATGAAGCCGCACGCAACGGTATCCCATCTCTCTAAAACAAATATCAACCTGGACATCGTGGCAAATGCTGGGAAGAACCTGGGCAGACAACAGAGAAGCAACGCGCGCGCATTCGTCGCACCCTCCTGCTGAATCCAAGGTAAGACCATCACCCACGGGGCCCGCGAGGGTGCTCTGTGGCTGTGCAGCTCCATCAAGGGCAACCATCTGAAGATGCAAATGCTGCTGGCCATGAAGCCGCAAGCAACGGTATCCAAACTCTTTACCAGCAGAGCGTCCTGGACATCAGGGCAAATGCTGGCAAAGAACTGGGCAGACAACGGAGAAGCACCGTGCGCACATTCCTCGCACCCTCCCGCTGAATCCACGGTGAGGCCATGTAGCATGACCCACGGGGCCCGCGCGGGTGCTCTGTGGCTGTGCAGCTCCATCAAGGGCAACCATCTGAAGATACAAATCTGGCCGGCCATGACGTCGCTAGCAACGGTATCCCAACTCTATAAAAGCACGTTACCCTGGAAATCTGAACAAATGCTGGTAAGAGACTGGGCAGACAACAGAAAAGCAGCGTGGGCGCAGCGTGGGCAGACAACATGTTGCAACCTTCCACTGAATCCACAATAAGGCCATGTAACATCACCCCCCGGAACCACGAGGTTGTTCTGTGGCTGTGCAGCTCCAAAAAGGGCAACGATCTGAAGATACAAATGCTGCCGGCCATGAAGCCGCTAGCAACGGTATCCCAGCTCTTTAAAAGCACGTTGCCCTGGAAATCTGAGCAAATGCTGGTAAGGAACTGGGCAGACAGCAGGGAAGCAGCGTGCGCGCATTCTTCGCACCCTCTCACTAAATCCACGACCATGAAACATCAGCCACGGGGCCGGCGCGGGTGCTGTGTGGCTGTGCAGCTCCATCAAGGGCTTAAGAACAACCATCTGAAGATACACATGCTGCCAGCCATGAAGCCGCAAGCAACGGTATCCCAGCTCTTTAAAGCACGTTGCCCTGGTAAGGAACTGGGCAGGCAGCAGAGGATCAGCGTGGGCGCATTCATGACCCCCCCCACGAAATCCTCACGTCACATCGCCCACGTGAACCTGACGGAAATTGCGTGGCAGCAAACTCTGGAGATACAAATGCTGCCGGCCAATAGGCCACAAAAAACGATACCCAAGCTCTTGAAACCAGAGTGCCCTGGAAAGAAGGGCGAATGTTTGTAAGGAACTGGGCAGACAACAGATAAACGACGTGCGCGCAGTCTTCGCATCCTCCTGCTGGATCTACGACCATGTAGCCTTTCCCACGGGACGCGCGCGGGGGCTCTGCGGCTGTGCAGCTCCATCAAGGGCAACCATCTGAAGATACAAATGCTGCCGGCCATGAAGCCGCTAGCAACGGTATCCCAGCTCTTTAAAAGCACGTTGCCCTGGAAATCTGAGCGAATGCTGGTAAGGAACTGGGCAGACAGCAGAGAAGCAACGTGCGCGCATTCTTCGCACCCTCCCGCTGAATCCATGGTAAGACCATTACCCACGGGGCCGGCGCGGGTGCTCTATGGCTGTGCAGCTCCATCAAGGGCAGCCATCTGAAGATACAAATGCTGCCGGCCATGAAGCCGCTAGCAACGGTATCCCAGCTCTTTAAAAGCACGTTGCCCTGGAAATCTGAGCAAATGCCGGTAAGGAACTGGGCAGACAGCAGAGAAGCAACGTGCGCACATTCCTCGCACCCTCCCGCTGAATCCACGGTGGGGCCATGTAGCATCACCCACGGGGCCCGCGCGGGTGCTCTGTGGCTGTGCAGCTCCATCAAGGGCAACCATCTGAAGATACAAATGCTGCCGGCCATGAAGCCGCTAGCAACGGTATCCCAACTCTTTAAAAGCACGTTGCCCTGAAAATCTGAGCAAATGCTGGTAAGGAAATGGGCAGACAACAGAGAAGCAACGTGCGCGCATTCCTCGCACCCTCCCACTGAATGGACGGTAAGACCATGAGCCAAGGGGCCGGCGCGGGTGCTCTGTGGCTGTGCAGCTCCATCAAGGGCAGCCATCTGAAGATACAAGTGCTGCCGGCCATGAAGCCGCAAACAACGGTATCCCAGCTCTTTAAAAGCACGTTGCCCTGGAAATCTGAGCAAGTGCTGGTAAGGAACTGGTTAGACAGCAGAGAAGCAACGTGCGCGCATTCTTCGCACCCTCCCACTGAATCGACGGTAAGACCATCAGCCACGGGGCCGGCGCGGGTGCTCTGTGGCTGTGCAGCTCCATCAAGGGCAACCATCTGAAGATACAAATGCTGCCGGCCATGAAGCCGCTAGGAACGGTATCCCAGCTCTTTAAAAGCACGTTGCCCTGGAAATCTGAGCGAATGCTGGTAAGGAACTGGGCAGACAGCAGAGAAGCAACGTGCGCGCATTCTTCGCACCCTCCCGCTGAAGCGACGGTGAGACCATATAGCCTCACCCATGGGGCCCGCGCGGGTGCTCTGTGGCTGTGCAGCTCCATCAAGGGCAACCATCTGAAGATACAAGTGCTGCCGGCCATGAAGGCGCAAACAACGGTATCCCAGCTCTTTAAAAGCACGTTGCCCTGGAAATCTGAGCAAGTGCTGGTAAGGAACTGGTTAGACAGCAGAGAAGCAACGTGCGCGCATTCTTCGCACCCTCCCGCTGAATCCACGGTAAGACCATGTGTAGCATCACCCACGGAGTCCGCGCGGATGCTGTGTGACTGTGCAACTTCATCAATTGCAACCATCTGAAGATACAAATGCTGCCGGCCATGAATCATCACGCGATGGTATCCCAACTTTTCCAAAACATGTTGCCTCGGAAATCTGGGCAACAGCTGGTAAGGAACTGGGCAGGCATCTGAGATGCAGCGTGGGCGCATTCATTGTGCCATCCTACTGAATCCACGGTAAGACCATATAACATCATCACCCTCGAGGCCAAAGAGGAACTTGCGCGACAACAACATCAAATTAAAAACAACCATCTGAAGATGCACGTGCATCCGGCTCAGTCTCCACAAACATCGGTATCCCAGCGATTGAGAACCGTATTGCCCGAGGAATCTGAGCAAATGCTGGTAAGGAACTGGGCAGACAGCAGAGAAGCAACGTGCGCGCATTCTTCGCATCCTCCCGCTGAATCCACGGTAAGACTATGTGTAGCATCACCCACGGAGTCCGCGCGGATGCTGTGTGGCTGTCTATCATCAATTGCAACCATCTGAAGATACAAATGCTGCCGGCCAGGAATCATCACGCAATGGTATCCCAACTTTTCCAAAACATGTTGCCTCGGAAATCTGGGCAACAGCTGGTAAGGAACTGGGCAGGCATCTGAGAAGCAGCGTGGGTGCATTCATTGTGTCATCTTACTGAATCCACGGTAAGACCATTTAACATCATCACCCTCGAGGCCAAAGAGGAACTTGCGCGACACCAACATCAAATTAAAAACAACCATCTGAAGATGCACGTGCATCCGGCTCATTCGCCACAAACAACGGTATCCCAGCGATTGAAAACCATATTGCCCGAGTAATCGGGGCAAATGCTGGTAAGGAACTGGGCAGACAGCTGA